TGTCACAAGGTTTCAGCGGTTACTTTCTAACTAGGATTTGACCTTAAAGTAAGCAATCCGTATAATCAACCGTGAACTCGAGAGGGACAAGGTTATCAATCCAAACAGTCCTAGAAATACAGAGCCAAGTGCTCAGGGCAGGGAAGAAATCTTTATAATAAAATAATGATCCATATAAATGTTATGATAATTAAACATCAGTTCCTACAAATGCAAAATGGCTTTATTGACAGGTCAAATTTTACTTGAGGTTATACTTTAAGGGTCTCTATTGAGAAGCCCCTTTCCATTTCTTAGGCAGATACTGTCCTTCTAAGCAGGTGAGGACAAGCTTCCGAGAGTTACAACCACATTTGACACTGCCTGCTATGAAGGACTCACTGACAGGATGTCTCAAAGAACACAGGAGGGGGACTAGAGGGATGGCTCAGTGGTTAATAGCTCTTGTAAGGTACATGGGTTTAGGTCTCAGCGTGTACAGGCCAATTTAACTATTCAGGGAATCTGAGCCCTCTCCTGACCTCCACAGGGACCAGGCATACACACACTGTACATGCATACCACAGGCAAAAACTCACATAAACAAATAAAGATAAATCTTTTTTTTTTTAAAGTACATGATATAAGCCAATAGCTTCTCAGTACAAAGCCCAGGGCAAGCTCAGAAGAACAGTGACAACCAGGTGGAGTTGCATGCTCTCACAGGAATGGAGAATTACATGCACTGGAGCTGCTCAGATCCCATAGCTAAAGCTCCCTTCCAGTAAAAAGCTGCACGTCTGGTGGAATGCTGAGAGTTAAAACACCAACACGCATGGAGTCAGGGAAGAAGACTGCTGCATGATGGGGTAGTTTGTGCTGTGTGGCAAGAGGTAAACCTAAGGAAACATATGGCCACATTGCTGCCAATTAAAAAGTCACAGAAAGGAATTTTAGACATATAAATCTAATGCAAATTCAAGAAGTGACTTCAAATCCAGAAGAAGTGCTGTGACTGAAGAGGTGAACACACTCAGGATCTGCCTGAAAATCAGGAAAACCGGAGTCTACTATTTCAAATGCAAGGTTAAGACAAGAAGTCCAGGAGCTAGTCGGAAGTAAATAAACCTCAAACGTGGGATCAAACTTAGCCAATGAAGAAAAGCACTTCAGAGGTACTCCCCAAGTGAGGATGCTTTGACCCCACTTGGAAGGGAGAGGAAAGCAATGGGGGGGGGAAGGGGGGGACTTGGGTGTGAGAGTGGAGGGGAAGGGAAAAAAGGGAACATGATCAGGTATTGGGGGGAACAGAAGAAAAGCCCTGAGGGTCAGCAGAATGAATGCAAACAGGCAACCTAGGGAGGTGGGAGGTAGGGGGACCCTCCAGACTGTACCAGAGATCTGGGAAGTGAGAGACTCTCAGGGCTCAAAGGAAGAGGCCTTAGATGAAATTCCCAACAGTGGGAAGATGGAACTTGTAGAGTCCATCTCCAATAGAAAGACAGGGCATCAAGTGGAGGGATGGGGTTACCATCCCACAGTCAAAATCTCTGACCCAGAATTGTTTCTGTCTGAAAGAACTGCAGGGACAAAAATGGAGACGAGACTGAGGGAAAGCAGGACCAGTGACCAGCCCAAATTGGGACCCATCTCAAGGGGAGGTTCCAAGGCCTGACACTATTACTGACACTATGGTGTGCTTACAGACAGAAGCCCATCATGACTGCCCTCAGAGAGACTCAACAAGCAGCTGAAAGACCCAGACACAGACACTTACATCCAACCAATAAAAGTCAGAGGACCCCTGTGGTTGAATTAGGGAAAGGCTGGAAGAGGTTGAGGAGGAGGGTGACCCCATAGGAAGACCAGCAGTCTCAACTAACCTGGACCCCTGAGATCTCTCAGACACTGAGCCAGGCCTGACACCAATATAGCAGAGGACTGCCTGGTCTGGCCTCAGTGAGAGAAGATGCACCTAACCCTAGAGAGACTTGAGGCTTCAGGGAGTGGAGAGGTCTGGTAGGGTGAGGGGTGATGGGGACATTCTGAAGTTGGGGGAGGAGGAATGGGTTAAGGAACAGTCAAAGGGCAGACTGGGAGGGAGATAATGACTGGACTGCAAAAAATAAAGATTAAAGATAATAAAATAGAAGAACAGGAGGAAGAGAAAGAGAAGAAGGGGGAGAAGAAGGAGAAGAAGGAGAGGAAGAAGAAGAAGAGGACGAGGAAGAGGAAGAGGAAGAAGAAGAGGAAGAGGAAGAAGAAGGGCCCTCATTCAAGGATTAGCATTGCAAAGAGAAGTCAAAACAAAACAAGACCAAGAATGAGAACCCAAGAGTGAGGTCTGAGCCTGAAGGCATGCACAGTGCAGGAACACAGAGCAGACCACACCGCTGATGAACAAAGTTGCAAAGCAGAGAAATATCAAAGCTAAAATATAAAGAACAGAAAAATCATAGATATAGTACAGGAAAACAAAATTCAGCATACTAAATAAGATAAGCAATGACATGTGTTCCTGTGTGTGTGGAAGTATATGATACATGATATGGATGGAAATATGTCAAACATACTTGGTGCATAAATTCCAGTGGCACTTAGGAAATCACACTTGCGTTATCAGAGCACAGTGATGGAATCTACATGTATAGGGCAGAAGAGCTGCAGAACAGACAACACAGTTTCCTCAGTAAAACACCCAAAGGAGACAACAGTAAGGAGGCAGCTGTGGAATTTATAGATTAAAATAATAAAAATAAGATACAGGCAGAACCACACCATTACGTAGAGTTAGACAAGATACTTAAAGATATACTAGGCTATAAGCTAGTAACGTCAAAGGCCAAAACACTTAATGCATGACTTTTACTTAATTTTTAACAATGGGGCTGCTCACCAGTCAGCAGAGATAGCAAGCAAGGTCTTAACAAGAACTCACCTAGGAGCTTGAGTAACTGAAGGTAGTTTTAAAGTTGAAAAGATTCCTGTACGTTCTGACATGAATGAAGAGGAGCATCTTGACTCCTGACCTCCTAACAGTGCAGAGCAGGGAGCCCAGATCTCAGAGCAATACTTTTTATCACCACCTGTGCTGCTTCCTATCCAACCTCAGGCAGGGGGACATCAAGGGAACTGCATCAGCCAAGAGGCAAGGCACTAGGTCGGGCATTTCCTAAGACAGTCCTCTGCTTCCATGAATTTTTAAGAGGAGACTTACAAATTCATGACCATCTGGTAGGTCAACAAGTTTATCTGTACTTATGAAGTATAGAGCTTAAGAAAAACAAAAAGAAAATATGGCTTGGGAAGTTATATTGATGAGGAAAGAAGAAAAGTCAAATCTCATAATGATCCATGTCCAAAAGGAGACATGTACGGTCCCAATAACTGCCTCTGTGGTGTTCACTAGTTTCACCTATGCCAAAGGTGCATGTGTAGGTGTGAAGTAGCCAACAGATACACACACAATTGCTACAGGCGTTAGCCCTCTTCCTCCTACATCAGCGGGTCACCCAGCCTAACAGCAGCACTCCTGAGACTCCTGGGGTGCTTGACAGGTCCCCTGAGCTGCTGCTCGAGAAAGACCACAAAGGAAAAGAGAAGTAACCATCTGAGAAACTGAAACTGTTCAAATGTACACACTTAAAAATGCTTTAAAATTTTGATACAAATAGCAATATCTTATTTTTTTAATTTCAATTTCTGCTATAAAAATTTCAGCTATGGCTTTTATAAATCTCAAGGACACTGTTCAAATGTACATGCTTAAAAATGCTTTAAAATTTTGATACAAATAGCAATATCTTATTTTTTTAATTTCAATTTCTGCTATAAAAATTTCAGCTATGGCTTTTATAAATCTCAAGGACATACTTTGTATCTTTTACTCTTTGAGATTTATTTTTAGCCCAGTGAAGGGAACTAAACCTAGGATCTCATCTGTGAAATGTATATGCTTTACCATTGACCCATGTTACATCCCCAGCCTGGGGTTTTTGAAAACTATCTGTATTAGTATCACCCCCTATTCTGTACTTAATTGTCATGTCTCATAATGCTTGCTTTTTAAAAATAAAATAAGCATTAAGTAATAGTTAAAGCAATGTGCTATTTATTTCGTTATCTTCTCCACATTTGAGGGCACTGTTTTCTTTCTTTAGTCTACAGGAGACAGGGCTGCCGTTGGCTTCCTGCCCACTTCCTACTCCTTCTCTCTCAGGTAGCCTCGTCATCTTCATATATGGGGGCAATGTTAAGAATGCATGGAGTTAAACTCTATTACCTATTAATAACAGTTTCAAAGCACTGTGTAAGTCAGCTTTTATAAATCTCCTACTTTTAACTTTTAGATATCATCTAACAAATGTAGGACATGATAAGAATAAAAAAAATTCTATTCAAATTAACAAAAAATCATGTAAGCTTTTAAAAATGTTACATTAGCTTTATTTTTAAAAAGCATCCAGAGAAATAAAACAAAATCAAATTTATAACTGCCTTCATAGTACAAAATAAGCAAAAAAGATGTTGTTTTTCTATACTGAATCTTTGTCTACTAAAACAAATAGCACTGGAAACTAAGGAAAAAGGGAAAGGGGAATTTTCTTTGTAAACTGAATGTGTATTCAATCTCATTTCCTCTAGTAGTTATAAAGTACTCAAAATATTATTTACTACATGAAGCCTGTTCATCTCCACTGAGATAAGCCATGAGCAGTAGATTTTATTTAGACAGCTTCACTATAATACAGCAAATGACTAACAATTCTTTTAAATAAAAATTTCTTAGGGTAAAAAAATATATATAATTGAAAATCTACTATAAACAGAATATACTGATCTTTACTTCTCTAGCATTTACTTACAAGGCTTCTACATACACATTGTCTATGTGTTTCTGTTATTTTTCCTTTTCTATAGTCTTCTGCAAGGCAACAGTCATTTTACTTCCTTGTATGACCTGCACAGGAGATAAGGCAGATGTGGACTTTACAGTGGTACTTTTGTTTACATTTACTTACTTTGTAATACGATCAATGTTGGCAATCTGCTTCTGATTCCTGATAATTTCAATGGCTGCCCAAAGATGCTGGATAGCTTTTGTGTCCGCCTGTCGTCTTTTTGTTAAACGTGCCATGACCTGTTTACTTCTTTAGCTGTAGCAATATACAAAGACATAAGGCAGAAAACATGGATTACCGAAGGAATTTCTAACACAGGAGCAACAGTCGCAGCACTTCCTGACACTGCTCATTCTGAAGTGAAAGGCAGTGTTGCGGCTTTCCATTTTCTACCTTTCAAGTTGCACTTCTACCTAATAAAAGCAAGCTTTCACTTGGTTACCTCTTAACGAATGATATGCTAAAATCCAAATCACTTAAAAAGGTATTTCCAAGGAGTCTACCTCATACCAACATTAATAAATAAATAGATAAATGCAGGCATTTATAAATATAAATAATATAATATAAATAATATGTATTCTAAAACACAAAGATACCATAAGATTTAAAGATTTCAGTTTTAAGTATTACACTGTGTGAAAAATCAAGCAATACAAAATAGAGTTTATATGTCCTAATTGTTTGGTATTTCAGGTTTTTATGATCATAGCTTTAGAGATTTCAGTTTTATATACATATGGAAACAATGTTTAAAAAAACAAGCATTAGGAAGACATGGTAATGGTATATGGTGCTGCACACCTGCAGTCCCGGCACTTAGGAGTAGAAGCACGAGGATTAGCACAAGTTCAAGATCAACCTGATCTACAGTGAGTTCCATGTCAGTCAGAACTGCATAGCAAGAAACAAACAAACAGTGAACAGAGAATTCAGGTCATTCTGAGGTAAAATATGAAAGGCCAAGAGCTAGGATACCAGATCACAAATTATCAGTAATGATCCAGCTGCCAGGATTGGGATTCATTTCAGAGCTAATAATTACATTATTAGGAAATAACACTATCATTTTATTCAAATTTTGGTATCTGGATAGGCTGAAGGAGACAGCTGTCAAGTCTCCAAATATCCTTCCAGCTATCTCCAGGCAAGAAAGAATGGACTACAGTTCAGTGTCTGGTGGGTGACAGTGTTAATGAAGGCCTATTGAATCTCCACTTCATCTTCATGGTGAGCCCAGCCTAAGGATCCAATGAAACAGGCAACTCATACATCTATGTGCTAGGCCCTCAGTGCAAGGCAGGAAAGTAGGCCCTGAAGCATCTCCAGCTGCTGCTCCCTTCAAGGAGACAGCAGTGTGGAACTTGTTCTGACACTTCACTGTATTCCTGCCTGACCAGAGAAGTTGCTAGAGTCTCATGTCTCTTTTTCTTCATCCTTTCTCACTGCCTCCTTCCTTCCCAGACCAACCTGAGTGAGAACTGCAGTTGTCACCTGAGTTCATCTTAACTAGACTCACTGGATATGGTCGATTCCAGCATCATGTAGCCAAGAGAGAGAGTGTCTGTGTGGTGAAAAGGACTAAAGGGATTTCTGAACAGCACACTTTCTCCATGGCTACATTCTAAAACAATGCTGGGCTGGGGAGATAGCTCAGTCTTTTAGAACTCATCATGAGCACACATGCAGACCTGAGTTGAAGTTTTCACCCCATGTAAAGGGCAGGTGCAGTCCCGCAAGCCTATGAGACCTACCACTTGGCAGGAGAAGGAAGGACAGAGGACGGAGATGGCTGAGACTTGCTGACCATCAGTTTCAGTATGAAACTGCTTCAAGGAGTAAGGCAGAAAATAAAGTGGAACACCTATTACCCTCTAGCCATCCAGCACACTACACGCATGCATACTTGCACATGCACACACGCAAAAAATGCTGGTGTTCAGGTTTTAAAGGGAAATTATTATGTTTTAAATAAATGTAGACCTATAACTAAACAATAATACAAATGACAACCGTGGCTTACGATGTTTCTATTTAGAGTGCAGACACCTCAGTTTCAGTGTGCTTGTTCGGGAGTGCCAGCTTGAGGATGCCACAAGGTTGCCATGGGAAGAAACTGCAGGAGGCACAGTGAGATGCAGCAGCACAACTCCACCCAGTCCTTTAGACACAGAAGCGCAAGCCTAGCTATCTCAGCTGTTTACAGCATGCAATGACAGTGCCCGCCTTGCTCATATTGCTGCTAGCCAGGAGACAATTGAAATGTACAGAATGGCAATCCGGCCGGAAAACAAAACTGATGGGAAATCTAACGTGGACAGTGTAAGACCATGTAAAACAAACATACAATGGTCCAGAATCTCTAGTGAGAATTCAGAAAAGGGTTTTACTGCTTCTAGCATGGGTAAAATTTAGACAGAAATAAATTGAAAACTTCAAAAATATGAGAAATATGAGAAAAATAAACACCAATATTTCTCCTCTTAATTTATTTTTAAAACAATTGTTTAAAGCAAAAAGAAAAATAATTAATAGATGTCCCTATGTTTATAATGTATGCAGAAGTAAGGTATGTATATCATGACCATAACACAAAGGAAGAAGAGGAATAAGTGTGAAGCAGTATCAGACTAAATTAAAGGGGATTTTGGTGAAATCAGGATGAACATTATATTCTGTACAAGAAAAGGATCATAATAGTTAACATATAACTCATTTTAAAACATATAGTATGAGCTGGACCTAGGAGTGCAGCCCTGGAATCCCAGCTTCTCAGAGGCTGAAGTGAGCAGAGCACCACAAGCTCAAGGGCTGTGTGGCCTCAAAGTTAAAGACAGCCCAGGCAACCTGGAGAGACACTGTCTCAATAATTAATCAAAAATAACTTATTCACAGCTACAGAAAAAGCTAACCAACAAGGTAACTTTTGAGGATACTGAGGAATAAATATAATTACTATGCAGCAATCATACAAATATAATGAGAGCTAAGTAGCAGAAATGCTTAGTGACGTCATACATTCCTAGAAAGTGTTAAAAGGAAGACCAAAGAATACAGTAGGCTTCATCTCAGAAAAGCAGATGTAAAGATGAAATCAGGGCCTTCTAAGAGCTATGTGGACCACGTGCCAGACAGCAGACATGCTGTCACTCAGGTCACACCAGACCTGGAAACAGTCATTGCTTATGAAGTGGAACACTGCCAGCGGAGTAAATGGTGAAGTACGTGGCACATCTTGAAAGTGCCAAAACCAGAGCCTATTAAGTGCCTATTAAGACAGTATCTCACTAAAGTGCAACTATTCCCTTATTTCTATGTAAAGAGAAATCTCAAAAGCTAATACATTACTGGGACTAAGCACAGAACCTTGTGAATCCTCAGCAAGTGCTCACTGCGGAGCTGTAGCCCATCCCTCAGCTGCCCTTTCTTAGGAGATCTGTATTCACTCGTTTCACATATACTCTGTGTGCTCTGGTTGTATATTAGCCACTCTCTTATACTGTGGACAAAAAGCAACAGGCAGAAAAGTCAAAACCTCTAATCTAGTAAGAACCATTAACAACATGACGTGATCCAAGAAAAGAATGACAATTGGGCATCAGTCGACAAAAAGAAAGCATCCTAGGAAGTTGGTCTCTTGTGTCCCACTCAAGGTCTGTTCTGATGTGGTAAAGCCAAAATGAATTCAAAAGAAGGAATAAAAATTATTTAACTAAGAAAGGGTTTGTCTCATTTACTTTTATATCTAATGTTTTTCTATGTACCCAGCAGAGTTTCAAACATGCTAACCTTTCCACATAAAAATATTAAATTTAGATTTTCCAGTTATGTTATTATAAGACCTCAGAGAAAACCTTCATTTCAAAGAGAAAGGTCAGAAAATATGCAGAAATCACTGACAGTCTTCAACCTTTTATCTGCTCCAACACACATGAGGGATGTAATATGCTCCTCTCAGTAAAAGTTACATGGGAAACAAGCTTCAAGAGGCCTGTAGCTTAAAAAGGAAGCAGAACATTCAAGGAACTTTAGAAAGTCCTCAGTTGATGTTGCTATTCTGTCCTTGGAAATCCAGATTTACCACAATTCCCAGTCTCTAGGTATATTCTGGTCTCATCACAGCATTATACAAAAAGAGCACAGCAAGCCAGGAAAAAATAACAAGCAAAATTAAATAAAGCATCATTTGGTGGTGAATCTTATGAATGCGGGTGTGCTGTAACAAGTGAGCAGCACACCATGAAAGAAGAGCACAGTGAGGGGCAGAGGACGGTGCAGGACTCCCATCAGCATCTGCAGGGGCAGAGGACAGTGCAGGACTCCCATCAGCATCTGCAGGGGCAGAGGACGGTGCAGGACTCCCATCAGCGTCTGCAGCAAATGTGCACTCGCTGACTTCTAGTACTTGGTGCATGTGTGAGGGCTTTGTTGCATAAGATAAATATTCAAATATTTATATCAAATATTACATAAAGCTTTAAAATGTCCCATTGTTTCCATGGTTTTCACTGTAACTTACATATGAATGAAACGCATTTATTAGTGATCTTACTTTATGATTATATATGCACATCATCCTCTCATCTATATATTAATTCTTGATTTTGGTTTTGGGTTTTCTTGTTGCTTTGGGATCAGGGTCTTACTCAGGATGGCCTTGAACTCACTATGTAGCCAAGTATGACATTAAACTTCTGGTCCTTTTACTTCCATCTCCTTAGTCCTGGGATTACAGTCACATACCACTGTACTCAACTTTAATTTTTTTAAATGTCTTTTTATTCATAAAATATCTCCTCTTTGCCTTTTAATAGCCATTAAATGAAATGATGCAGAAATCTAGGCATATGTTTCCTTATAATTACTTTTTTGGTAAACACTTCTATACTCAGTCCAGAAAAAAAATGTAAATACTTTTGATGAAGTTTTAGGTTGACAACAAAATTTCCATATCCTGTCCGTCCCCACAGGCACTACTGCCACCAGCACCTCACCAGGATGGTGAGACTTGCTATAATTGGTGAATCTATACTGATATCACTGCCAAACTAAGTCCAGAGTTGAAGGTTTTATGTACTCTAGAGGTCTTGGCATATGTTCCATGACAAGCAAGTACAATTGTGACATCACATCACTATAATATCACTGCCTTAAGTTCTCCATGTCTCAGCTATTCCTAACCTCTGGGAACCACTATTTTAGTGGTCCCACAATTCCACCTTTTCCAGAATGACACAGCCTTCTTTTCATAGCTT